TTTTATATAAAATTAGAGAGAAAACAAAAGAATTAAACAAGATATACGTTATCTTTGGTAAAATAAATAAATAAACGTTATCAGCCAATAATACAAAAAATATTATTTTAACCACACGAACTATATTTCTTTTAACCATGAGTAATAGGTGAATGATCTCTGATCACCATTTTTTTAAACAAAAGGGTTCTTTTGGATAAGTTGGGTGAGGGATATCAAGTCGTGCCCAATAAAATGCCAGAGGCCCAAGAACTTTGAATTATTTGCGATTAAAATCAACAATACTACAAAAGGCTTTTTTGATAAGTTGAGCAGGGAAAATCAAGGCCAATCCAACACATAGGCCAAAGGGCCAAATAACTTAGACTAAATTATCTGCGATTAAAATCTAATTCATCGATATAAAGTACTAGGGCTTGATCATTGCTACCAAGCTGTGTGTGCTCCTACGGTCCTACAATGTTTGGAAATCTACACAAAAGGAATTTTTTAAACCTGTGTAATAAATATAGTTTTTATTTATCATAAATTAATATTAAAAAATAAAAAATAAAAAATATTAAATTATTAATTATTTAATTAAAATTATTCATGTGATAATAATATTAAAATTAATATTAATTTTTATATTTTTATATAATTTAATAATAAAAATATATTTTTAGTTTGTGCTATTAAAAAAATCCCTAAAAATATTAGAGGGAAAAAAAGGAATAACGAGAAGATATATGTTATCTTTGGCAAAAGAAAGAAAACCATTCAAAGTGTGTCAGTGAATGACTGTGGACATCTTGGGCCCTTGCTAGCTCATTTTTCCGTCGACCTTCTGCCTGTAGAGTCAGAAAATCTAGCAACCTTGACCATGGGCCGAAATTTGGTTGTAGAACCTATAAAACTCTCACAATATGCACTAATAAATATAAATTAGAGTGCGTTTTGGGATTGCTGTTGGGGTTTTTTTTATGTAATTATATAATACTTTTAAATATATATGTTTGGTAATTTTTTTAATTATTTTTTAAAAAATTACAAAGAGTTACAAAAAGTTACAAAAAGTCATAATAAATCTATAGTAACTTTATGTATAAAGTTAAAAGCTTAATTTTATAACTTTCTGATTGTAATTTTTACGGAAAACACTTAATATTTAATATAATTATAAAATTATCCATTAAAAC